CCAATATTCCCTAATAGCTGCGAAATGAAGTGCAGTGGCACTCCAAATTTTTCCCATCAAAAGGTATATTTCACTCGATAACCGGAACGGAAATCTCAATACATACTTCCTTCGATTTGTTTCGGTCGCACTGAAAAAATAATCAACTTGTAAGCCCTATCAAAATTGCAACTCAGTTTGCATTAATTTTGTACATTTTTCCATCATTTGTGGTCGTTGCACTAGAGAACGCTTTTATTTATCTGAACTGGCCGTCACAGGTGTCTCGCTGAAAACAAATATAAGATATGTAACTGAGGTTTTCAAAGCTATCTCTATTTCATAGTCTTTCTTGAAATCACAACATGCTAACGACTAATTCTGATAATATCAGAAGCTGTTTTCAGGTAAGCTAGAACTAAAATGAGTGTACGCTGGTATAGACTGTGCAGTATGTTTAGGTAGATGGCTGAATAATATTCCAATCGGAAGTGCCATTGTGCTGGATATCTTAGGATATGTTTGAAACCGATCTGGAATTCATCCTTTCCGAAGGCTAACCTTAAGGTAGTTCATTTTGCCAGAAGAAACTTTGTTTCATAAGAGCATTCTCCTAAGTTCAACCAATACATTAACCGGTCTTTCAGCAAGTCTTCTGAAACAGTGCATTTGTGCTCTTTTGACTAGCAAATAGAATGCTTGGCACTAAGAATGAGAAGAACTAGTTGGGAGTTTCGAGTCATCAGCAGATAGCACGATGTAAAGCTAAGACCGACGGAGACCCTTGTTTGCATAATCCGTTCACACCAATCGGATGTGTTCCTCGATGAGTCAAGCCTGCGTTCGCTAGTATTCGGACATATTATCCATGAAAAGGAGGCCAACTTCAAAGTAGTTATTGTTTGCACTTACAATTGTTATTATGGTGCGATTCATTTTTCACAACCACCCCTATCACAAAGTTTCAGTGATAAGTTCAGTTTCATGTCCGCAGCAGACGAAGAAGTTCATACCAGCATTATCCTGGCGAGAGCTTTTGTTACAATTGTTGACTAGGTATTTGAACTCTTAACCCCTAACCACAGGGCATTGTTTCCGACGTCCACCATGCCATGCATCGGGTTCAACTAGCCCACCATCATTGTTGTTCATGTTTGAACCGATGCGTACGCAAAACCCCAATGTCAGGCCAGTACCAGCACTAATGAACGGTCAGAGTCAATATGCAGATATGCAGAGACAATTGAAATAAGATGCACGAATGCCACCTGCCGTATTTCACAGCCGTGCAGACTCCTCGTATGTATCTGCCACAATGTAACATATAGGGCAATTTATCTACTCACTACACTGTGAACGACACCTTCACGTTCGCATATGTAATGAACACGTCTGCCCCAATTGGCTACTTAAGTGGGTCTCATTGCCTGGAGGCTCATTCAAAATGCACCACATTCAATACGCATCAGCTACAAGTATTAGTATCCTTAGGATAAATCACCTAACTGTTTGGCACACGAATCATATTTCTGAAGTCACCCAAGCTTGTTGCCGCACTGTGATTCACGCACTTCCCTACCACTGATTGAGAGAAAGCGGTCCGTAGACGCAGATCCCCATTGTGGTCAGAGTTATCAAGTGTTGATGAAAGCAGACCCTTTCACAGGTACCCTCCGTCCGTATGGTACTTTAAAACTGCCTCCGCCTTTGTTGGCGCTACTGGAGCAGAATGGAGCTAACTAATATTCGGACTAGTGATGTAGATACAGTTGATGTGTAAATCAAACGTACCATATAGGAAATCCAATTCGTTATTTGCTGTTTTCTATTCGACCCATATACATTCTCAATTCTGCAACCACTGCCCGTTCGGACAAGTAACTCGGATAACAAGTAGCACATACTTCATGTGGACCTTATATGTGTTGTTTAACCATGCGATCGCGTGCTCTCTATGAACAGGGGGACTGGGCTGTCGTGCGAATCCCCACTCCGAATCGCTGATCACCACGCTAATACCGAATTTAAACTGAAACAATTAACTCAAATATTCCGAAGGATTGGTTCGCTGGATGCAACTTTGATGCAGAGATGACAATTTAACGGCTCAGTGTGATCACAGAGAAATTAGCAATGAGAGTAATTGGCTAACCTTTTTTCGACTTTTGAGTACGTCATTCCGACTCCAAAGCAATAATGAATTCTTGGAAAAATTCCGTCACACCATCGAATCCGCTGCGCCGTTTTGATGAACTTGGCCAACTCAGTGCCACCGTGGTTAAATTGCTGCCCGGTAACGACGTACTTTTTTACTCACAGCAGTCCTTTAAAACAACTATCGTTTGATATTTTGGCTTGTGTAACATCACCGTGGTAGTTTCCTTCGTCCGGCCCATTGCTAGATAAGTTGTCCGCTCTTTTTATCGAGACGGTCGATTTGATGCGCGGCCTCTGAATCAGTCTAAAACATGATGCGAAGCAATCCGTATAGTCTACGAACATCAGCTGGTCAGTTGAGGAGTGCACACCACTCATGCGCTAGCTCTTCGTCGATAAATATGGACGCTGGTGTCGGACTTGTCAGACTCAATTTACTTGGGGGCTCGCTACCGCGTTAGACAGGATATGTCAACTCACCTGCATTGCATTACGGAGTAAGCCGTCAGTAGTGCAGCGGACAGCGATCACAATGCAGAGTAACTGGATGGGAAGTGGTTTATTGGACGCTGGACGCCAAGAGTTCCGGTACTAACACGATAAACTTGCTATGAAGAAAGCAAACAAAGACTAAGAAAGACATCAGCAGTATGCCGGTACACCGTGCCGACGCTTCGCTGCCGAGCAACCACCACCAGTCGCCAGTGGGCTAAGGATAGTGCGAGGTTCGCTCGGTCCCTACTCAAGCTCGAACTCACGCCCTCGGATTACAAGGCAAATTTGTGTTTATTAACACTACGGGCCGGCGAAAGAAAGAACATGCACATCAATACTTTGATTCTGGTGTGAAATGCTGTAAACCCTAGAACAATAATATGGCTATGGTCTGCTGTTCTTAATTTACCTACTGAAAGCTCAAGATTACCGCATTTACTGGACGAGCTCAAGAAACCTTTGCAACATAAGGCAAAATCATTCGCTCGTTTTAACTCGTTCAACTCCACCTGTTCCCCAAATCACATCACCGGCACTTAATTGTCAATGACACATTTCTGAGTGGTCACCACTGAGCCAATAAGGAATAGAATCAGTGGCAGAAGAGAGTAAACTAATGCGTGTGCGGTTACCAACTGGTTTCTTCGATGGAGCCCAAAGTTATGATTGCAGTTCTGTAACTTCCGATTTATCCAGTCTTAACTACACTGCTTATTGGTTTAACGATATATCGCTATACCGAGATGGAACTATAACAAAAGCGGAAAAGCTATTGTCACCTCCTATACTTTCGAATCTATAACCCCTTTCTTTTGTCAATCCTGTTTAGAGCTTTGCGGGTGGGATTGACTTTCCACCTATGCAAACTACTTTACATTACCAATTCACTTAAGGTTTACTGGCAATACACCAATTGTATGCGGAATACACTTTGTTACCCGGTCTGATTATTGCAAAATGGGTACCTGGGACACAACTGGAAAAACGGTTTGGATAGCAGCTTTTTAATCTGCAGCTACTAAGAAATCTCAGTTACGTCGTTCAAATACATCTTTAATAACAGAAGGTTGGGCGATAATGTGCCCACAAGGACTGGTTAGCTGAAAACCGTGAAAAGTGATTGGGCCTGTGGTACAACCCAGAAATGAGGTTATGGAAAAGTCGTTCACCGCTTATTTACAGTAGCTGGGGGTATGCTGTCCAACATAACAGTTGTTGCACTGAGACAGACATACGTTTCGTTGTAGTTGAATATCACGGTGGCTGACAAATACCACGTGTGTTAATCGACCGTATCAAAGTCAAAAGAGTGCATTCATTCTCACAAGCCCACCTTAGACGGTTATCCATTCAAGGCTTTAGATTTGTATTCCTTCTTCAACTCCATAGGGATGTAGTTAGCTCCAGGAACTATTACCCATGGACGGGAATCAACTTTACCGTTGGCTGGACTGGCATCTGGAACTGGCGAATCGTTCTGTTGGTAGTTCATTTCTCGTTATGACCGCCATACTTCCTACCACAACAAAAATGTGCATGCGTCTCACATCCGTCCTTACTCTAGTACGACTGTGAAGCTTACCGGTTGTTAAGCCTGACGACTTACGTTGTGCATAAGCACAGCGGGGTGCTCCCTACTGAGTTTAGTTCCCCCGGAAAGCACCCTAATTGCTCGACCATGACAATTAGATAAAGACACTGGCGGTGAGGACACCCTGCGGTGGTGAGCTAAACACAATGTGGTTTGGAATGCAAAGGCATTAATCGGCTTCTCACTGTCTGACAACCACCGTAGACGCCGAAATAGCTAAACAAGACTTAAACCTCCTGGTTTCTTCATCTCCAGCTAAAAGTGCTCAGTTGAGCGAATCCTACACGGGATGTCGTAGGTTGGTGCCGTGGAGTATGATGTGCTGGGTTGTCCTTTACGAAAATGTTTCGCACATCAAGTCTAGTGATTATGGGAATTACACACTTTGTTCCTTACCCATCAGCTTGAGCACGTTCCTTAAACACTCCACTTACCGGCTACTGATTCGAGTTGAATCAGATGGAAGCTCCATACTGCCCATTAGCAAGAGTAAAATTAGAAAACAAACCTAGCTGACTAATCTGCACGAACTACCATTTGTGTGGACTGAAAGGCAAAGTAGTCAACAATAAAATTCTAACACAAGGTCAGACCACAAAACCAGCTGATGGATCGCTATAGTGTCTCCGACTCGAACTCCCTTCCTGACCACACTCATAGTGCTTTGTTAAATACGCTGATACCAGGTGGCATTTCCAATACAGTGGCTGGTACTGAAGTGTGACTTGAGCGCCTTCTGTTTATATCGGGCAATATAAATTCAAGAAATCAAACGCCTAAAAACGGAAAAACGTATTTGAAGAGCTCATATTCTACATATTTCTTTTTCATATTATCTTGCCAGCAGGGGCACAATTCTATCAGCGCCACGAAGTATGTTCAATATTGAAGTCCCCATGCGACAGAAACAATGAACATTTGGTAAGGTTCTTCAAACTGAATAATACAACTCTGGGGAATTTGTTTAGGCTTTGGTTGGGCGGTAGCAGTAATGTCGCATAATAATATCACTAGAAGAGCGGGTTTTAACCGATGACGATTGTCTAACCGAACTATGTACAACCGAAGGTTCAGGAAACCTTCAATACAATGAAACAACCTACAACAGAGTTTTTGTTGCATATGATAAATGCCTTCACATTTGCTGCCGTCATTCGAAAGAGCTTCTCTCAAACGGGGAGCCTGTGGAGCTGGTAGAGTGTGCCAAAAGGCCACATTGTGGAACTGTATCAGTCAGTTCTCTGCCCTCTGGTGAGGAACTCGGGCTACTGAGGAATTTATTGACTGTGAGTAAACGTTGGCTTTTGGCTGTTGCTTGATGCTGCTGGGCTGAATTTGCTCCATCATTCCTGTCGAGATTACGACCCGCCTCAGTGGCAAGTGCAGAGTTGAGGCTGCTGGCTGCGGCAATGTTAGTAATCCATAAGTTGAGGGGAGTTTCGACAAAGCTGCTCTCCTTTATCGCCCGAGTGTCCGCAGCAGCAGATACTTTCGTTCCATGACGAGTTGCCCAATTGTATTGTTCCAACCAAGGATAAGGCAATTTTGACAAAATACTCGGAGAACCAGACTGGACGGCGTATGTGTACCATTCCATGACCCTTCTCCAAGCCTCCACACTACTGGGTGATGAAATTTCACTGTCAGTACTCTTGTCTAGGTTCATCGTATCCAATGAATCGTTGGATTTCTTGAGGGGGAAATTACCTGGGGAGGATACTTCCTCGTACTTGCCTGATGCGCTTCTCTCGTCAGGTGATGTATTGGTTAGACCCAAACCACGTATACTGAACGGAGAGGCTTTTGCTGATGGTGAAATTGCAGTCTTTTTGTTACACTCAGGTGAATAAGGCGTAGCATTCTTGATAGCTGAATAGTCAATGCCGCTTTCTTGATTCGTGTTACGTGAGGCGCTAGATGCCATTGACAGTATCCAGTTCATGGAAGACCGATTGCACAAATCGTTGTGCATGGCTTGCTCAAATACACCAAATAACCTGGAGTGCGTTTCGTCAACACTGCGAGTATTTCTCCGTATGTTTGCTTCTTCGTTGTCGCCACTTATTTTACCTGAACGGAGTTTATTACCTGATTCATAGAGCCCGCTTCCTGGCACATTACTGCTTTTTCTAAAAGTTTGTTGATGAAGTAGTGGTTGGCCAAACGCACCCATTTCACCCCACACCTCTGCTGTTCCTTGACCCCTGCGCATCTGGTCTCTAAGGTGTGCTTCATTGCTAGGTACGACCTGGGGGCTTTGCCGGAAGCGCTTCGCGCACGGTTTATTTTGATCTGTAGTGTTTTCTCCGCAATTATCTTGGTCTTTCGGAACTGACAAATTCAAGGAATCTGACTTCAGCCAATCATCGTCTAGAAGAGTTTGCCTGCCGGAGTAGGCGGATCTGTCCAACAGCTCGAGTTGCCCGGCGTCAACGCACACCAAGGCACCTCCGTCCACTGAGCTTCGGTTTTCAGCATTTGGTAATCCTGGACTTCTATCATTATGTTCTACCGAATCTTCTTCAGAGTGAAAATGGGTGTCAGGATCTCCATCACTTTCTGAATTTGGCAATGTCCTGCGATTAGGAAACGCAACAGTGTTAGTGTACCTAGCATTTGGACATTCGGAAAGAGCGGTTTGAACTTACAGGAAGAGTCAAAGTACAGTTAGATAGTAGTAAACCTGGTTTACATTAATTTGTTGGGGCTCCAGCTAGCACCTTTAAGCTGATAAGCTAATGAAACACAAACCTTTCAAGGACGGCAATGAACCATTTTGGGTTAGTCTGAGTACTAAAAGCCAGCCAGTTGAATTCGTCGAAGAAAGTAAAGTCACTTTGAACATTCCAAATGAATGATTTTTTCACAAAGTGTAACTTTCAGAGTCGAACACACCAACTGCTGGTTGTTTTTAATTAGGCAAATACAATGAGAAAACGAAAAAAATTTAAAAGCTACTTGAATCCATCAGTGACTCATGATTACAAGAACTTAGTCAATGGATGCCCAAAGTCCTGCCCGAGGGCTAAATGCGGCCCACGTTAACATTTCAACGGGCCTGAGGTCTCATCATGAAATAATAGATCCACGCTTGGATTAATTTGTACAGACGAGGTTATACAGTTCACAAAAAATGTAAGGATGTTCTGGGTACAAAATCCAATGGCGTCAGATTCTGGTAAAAACCAATGTACACTGTATTTTTAACTAACCAGGAAAAGTCAGTCGAATGTCTCTAGGAAAAAGGTCTTAACTAAATCTGGTTCTGTTTCACCCCACATTAAAAACGTGCAATAACATATTTATGATATCTGTAATTTTGCTTGTATTTTATTGTCAGACTGAATATGGCCCGACAAATTTTTACCTTACACAATGTGGCCCTCATTGCGAAAAGTTTGGACACCCCTGACTTAGTCACTTGTGAGCCAAAGGACCAGCACCACGATTATAAGATGAAGAAAAGTTGTAATGAGTTCTTGCGCCATAGATACCACCGTAACAGCTCTGATACTATAAAGGGAACGAAAGTGCAGTGGTATTTTCTTAAAGTGTCAGACACTGCTGCTCAACCAACAGCTCACAAATGCATCTCACTACGCTTGTTAGATCCTCGTACAAACCTTGAGTTCCTATGGAGAACGAATGTGGAATAGGGTGTCCAGAATTCCAACTGTGTCACATCGCTGTTTATGCGACCCTGCCACATACCGAGGTACCATATATGTTATGGAGATAGGTTTGTGTGAATAGCTACGGCTGAAGGGTGGAGTAAGGTTGCGATTTTTTCATACCTGCGCGGTCTGTATGCAGAACTGTTGCCTGGATTTCACGTTTGGTGCTCAGTTACCCGCAGTCATATCGACCTGTCCGCACTGCACGCCTTTGCCTCTTGGAGCCCCTTGGCCTCAAGCAGTTGCAACGTGCACATTGAAACTGATTGGCGTGTGGTGATTGAAATTCGCCACTTGCAACGGGAACCACACTAGTAAATCCAATTCAGTCAATCATACTGTAGTTTCGCGCCCGATGAAGGCAGGCTGATTGTACCCTGTGACAACCAGAGAGCGAACTGTGTGAGGATGCTGCTAACACTACCATTGCTCATGCCTTTCACCGGGTGTGAAAGTTCGTCTGAGGAAACAAACCGAAGCAAATATCTTTTCCCATCACTGACTTAAATACAGGGACCAAAGGACACTTGGCCATATTCACACAGACGTACCTACACATGGCAGATAATCTATCGTGCTGGTCGCGCAGGCCCTCATATGCAGATCTATCAGAGTTCGGTGCTCAAGCAAGTATAACCAATATTGGAAACTCAAGTTAATTCCACCTACGAAGCAATTACGGCTACGCAGATGGAAGATGAGTGTTACCTGCCTAAAAACACTGTGCACAACGACACGGGTTAATCTCACTTGATCTCACAAAGTGATAGCAGGCCTCGAACCCGGGACCACTGGGATGTCAGGTGTGACCGCTACCTCTAAACCACCGGGTCACGAAGGGTAAGGCTTGGCACAACGGTTAACGGCTGATAATGAGGGTGCTTTTGAGGAACACGTTGTGTGGATGGATTGCGACACGCAATCTCAATGTAGACCACGATTCACATTCAGCATCAAATCCGGAGGTAACCGTTGTGACAAACGTTGCCCGGCATGTCCCGGGAGCCAAACGGGTAGAAGTTTCGGCTAATGTTCCAGTGGTCCCGGGTTCAAGGCCTGTTATCCCCATCTAATGAGATCAAATGGGATCGAAACGCGTCGTGGTGTGCAGTGTTTGCCGGTATGCATTACCAAATTTCCATCTGCTTCAGCTACGGTCCCAGCAAGGTTCACCACAATGTGAATCGCGGTCCACTTGAGATTGCGCGTCGCAATCCATTCGCACAACAAGTACTTCAAAATGATCATTCAATTAAATACACCTATCTTGAATAACCGGGCCTAATGGCAGGTTTACTTGATAAGTTGTAATCTGAATCCAAACTTTTTGAAAAAGTGACCACGAATTAGCAATTGTACCAAGTTCGGCAAAAGTCCGGGCGCTTTTGCTAACCTTCGCCACTTATGGCGCCGGCGAGACCACTAGCGTCCTGAAGAGTAGAGTGTACAATGCAGCGCTACGTTCGACCCTACTGTACGGTTGTGAAACCTGGCCCCTTAGATCAGCTGACATAAAGAGGCTAGTTATGTTCGATCCCCGGTGCCTTCGAAATGTACGTCACATCTGGTGGGAACACCGCGTGAGCAACGAGCGTGTTCAACGCCTTGTTTACGGCACAGGACAAGGAACTGAACCGCTCAGCACCGTTATTTCCCGCACCAGGCTCCGATGGCTCGGCCACGTGTTACGCATGCTAGCCCATCGACTCCCGCGACGTGCGCTGATTGCTCACCGGGGATGTGGATGGAAGAAGAGGAGGGGTAGCCAAGCGATGACTTGGTCGAGAGGAATGAAGGCCCTCACTTCTGAGCTGGCCTCGGTTGGAGTGTCTCGGCTCCTTGGTTGTGGTCCGAAAGACGATGAACACGTTTGGTTGGACACACTTGCTGATATGGCTAGGAGTCGACCTCAGTGGCGTTCGCGCTGTGAGTTTATTTGTCCCACCCCATCCCTCCTAGCTGAGGTGTCCCGAGCCTCCAGCTAACGTGTTCGAGTCTTAGATGCTTTCAGCTATTCCGATGTGGGTGACTTCAGATTTAGGTTGAGACCTGCGCTACTCTGGGTTTCCAGCCCTAATCGCACTTGCTGAAATTAGGCGCTGAGGTAGAAGCTGATGCAATCTTTTTAGGACAGTCCTGTTCCATGGTTGCAGAAATGAAATTCTGACTGCTGTAGAGCTAAGCAAACTACTTTTCTCAATCATAATGCGAAAAACAACTTACAAATATAAAAGTAACACTGAAATCACTAATGAAGCACAAATAACTATGGCTCATAGTGTACACTTCTACTTGTAGGTTCACTGTTACTATAAACAACGGAATATTATAGCTCTAGTGCAACGTACATCTGGGGACTTACTGCAATCCACATCACAAAACCAAAACTGACTGCACAAGAGGAAACCTGAACTGTGAGAAGCGAAATTTAAACTCAACCACACCAACGGTTATTGAATCCGTGAGAAATGCAAATGAATATGTTACTTCATCATGGACTTATACTCACAGGTAAGCCCGTCATAGGTGCAAAAGATCGAAGTATCTAACCTAGTTTACTTCGACTGTGATCAGAGTATCAGTACCAGTGTATGCAACAGAATAAACTGCATGCAAGTTTTAATAGAGCCCGTTCTAAATGCATACAGAACAAGATTAACCGATGGTGGGAATCTTCAACGGCTACTTGAACAGTTAAGTAACTCACTGGTTCTTGGCAGCGGCCGCTCTGTCTCGTTGACGCCGGTTCTTAAACCAGTTACCTACTTGAGTTGGCGTCAGCCCGGTAGCATTGGCAAGCTCCCGCTTCTTCGCCGGGCTCGGATACGGGTCTTGTAAGTACCACTCTCTGAGTAGACTTCGAGTACGTTCTTTAAAGCAATGAGTTTTCTGCTCACCATCCCAAATTGTCCTCGGCATCGGAAATTTCTTCCTAACCCGGTACTTGTCAACAGGTCCAAGTGGACGTCCCCGCAGTTTCTCCGCCTCTTGATAGTGGGCTTCGAGCCATAATGCTTGCAGCTTCACATGCGAAGATTTGGAAAATGTATGGCGCTCCAAAATTGCGTAAAGTTCTCTAAAATTGCCCGTGTGAAAGGCCACCATGGCTCTGGCTCTTAACATCGTTTCGCTACGATTAAGTACTTCCCAAAGGCTGGTGTGTAATGGGAGTGACCAGACAAACCGACTCAAATTTTCAAGGTCACCTGAATCCTCAAGGGTTTGACATAAGCGAATGATTTCCTGCGGGGCAAAGTTAAATCCTGTGGAACCGTTTGAATCATTGTTAATCTTCGACACATCTGAAGCATGTGCCGTCGTATCTGGCTTATTGGGTGCTCCGAATTTCCCAACCTTATACAGCGGATGACCTGTGTATCGAGTTCGCACCCTGTTGCACCGTGATATCGGTGATTTAGATGTCAAACATGATACACCACCATGTCGCACTGTGGCCTTATGACTCGGCTGCTGTGCTCGCGGTGGGGTGAGCCCGAACGTTTCTGCAGGCACGTGAGAGCGAAATTCGTCCGGATTGGTGTAGTTCACTGGGAGAGTCGGAGAAGTTGGAACATGAATCCCCCCAAATGCTGTTTGCCTTTTCATCCACTCTGAATGATCGAACATTGTTTGGGGTATTCCCACGTGGGGCACATCTTCACGAAGATCCAGTCCCTTCCTTGTCTCAAACAATGCTGTCAACAGACGTTGAGGGTTTAAAATCCACTCTACTGCGTTTGTGTTCGTAGGATACTGCAAGATCTGTTTGGATATTACCGAGGGTATCTGGCTCAGGCTTGCATCCCTCATAGAGTAATGTGCAGAAGGGTCTGAAAGACAGTGGGAATGGTTGGAAGTAGGTAGAGTGTTTGCTGAATCTGTTACTCTGACAGAATGTGTTGTATAGGTGATCCCATTGGCAGACGTCACTGAGTCCTCCGTGTTCTCCATGGTGAATGGAAGTGGGAAACTCTGCATCACATGAGAGGAGGATGGTTTCGTAACCCTACTAGTTACGTTGGATTTGATGAAAGTCCTGAAGTTCTGGAATTCGGAGCAATTCGATCCAGAGGGTAAAAGATACCGAAGATCAAAAGCACTAGTTTTCATCTGATCCGGCCTGCTATCGTTTATCAACTGCTTCGAAGTGATTACGCCAGATGATTCCGGCACAACTGCCATTTAGAATACTGCTTTGCAATAGTTGAATGGGTCCATCAAAGTAACTTTTGCCAGGGGTCGTCAACCAGTTGCCAAGTATGAACACAGTAGATGGACACCAAGTTATTCTGTACTCTTGTCACGGAAGGGGGTTGTGGTAGTGCGGGGGTGGCTACCACAGCTGTCTCAGGATGACATGCACGTCAGTGTATGCGCCCAGACGATAACATATGCAAAGCGAAGTTGATAGGCTACGACCAGATAGACAATTGTGGTCATGGTCGGGAGCACGCGTTGTCTTTCCGTCCTTCCGCTCATTGGACAATCGGAATAGTAGTGACTAGCAGTGGAGGTTAGAACGAAAGGGGTGAGACGATAGGATGGACGTTGTAACCCGATAGTCGGATATGCACGCACCCGATTGGCTTGAGCTCGGGTCTGGGTGAACCATATCTGCTTTGTCTCTTTCTCGCCTCACTCCACCCACACCTCGTCATTATTGTAACCGTCATTCGAGTGCTCTGGCCCTTAGGAAGAAGGGCAAAACATCTTCAAAACACGATGGCCAGAATAAATAACAGCTCTTTACTATGAAGTGATAGTCGTCTGATCACTCCGCGACCCACAGAGCAAGCAATGATATGTCACGCGTGTGGCAACCATCTTGTTTTTATCTAATGGACTTCGAAAATAATTTTCGAGAAATGTCGAAACGTTTGGCTTACATGTGACTGTTGCTTCACTGACATTTGGATGGACTAGCTTACATGTACCGTTGAATTTTTCTTGAAGGAATTTTGACCAAAAATGATCTTAGAAATAGCACGTCACTAACAAATCACCAAATGGCAAAACTCGACAAAAGATCAGGTTTAGTTATTAGACCCAAAACAAACAATGGGCTGCATCCAGTTTGCTAGAATGTTGTTCGTGACTTAATACGGTTACGAACTGATTGACACTTGTCTGCCTACAGAGATTATTATCGTGTTCGGTGGAAAATATTTATGGCTAGCGGGTGGGAAGATGCGTTAAATAGGGCGATCCACAATTCACTGTTGAAGAGCGGTTGAACTTGATCCCTACAGTGATATCGTACTGTGAATCCGATCAGGCAACTAAGTTGTAACCACAAAACATATATATAGGGGAATAAGTGACAGTGTTTACGGCGCCAAAGTAAACGAACAAATTTAGTTTGGGTAACAAATGCATAAGCAGATGTGGCTTTATTTCACCGCTACTTGTTCGATAACAAAGTTCCAATACATTGGTTCAGATAGATGTAGAAATAATCGGTTGGTGTATTTGTTGGGCATCGTTTCGCTTTTGATGCAAAATCTTCCTCAGGCTAGGTGAATCAGTACGCAATTGGAACGGTAATGAAACATATGTAACCGAGTAAGCAGTTCTTGTTTGGTTGCACTGATTGATACCATATCATTGCGTTCTTTTACCAATCTCATGCCTTATGTAATGAATTACGGACGAAGTAATCGTCTTTATGTACATTCGCAGCTGCGCTGACAAATGCTATCAATGCCACTCATTATGCAGCAATCTTATTAACGTCCTCCAATTAATTTCAAATGACAGTTAGTAAGCAATCTTATTGCATAATGTCCACCATTTCAGTTGTCCGCTTTTCTACAGCGGGGTTCACATGGTAATTCCATTGTTTACGAAGGCGCACGATAAAATTTTGTTGAAAATAACCCATACCAGTGGAATTTAGGCACCTTTTAATTTCTCGTTCCCATCTACCTATATGGTTTGCTTTTGAGCTTAACGGTGTTATAGTCCATAGTAGATTCTTCTTACATTGGTACAGAGAGGAGGAGCGATTCCACCTTGTCCTTGGATTTAACAAGGGCCTCTTTATATGGATCCTACTGAGATTCACTTACTCTCCATCAAGACCATCCAAAAGACTTTATAAAAATGTGGCACGTCCTAGTTTTTCAGCAAATATAGAAACGAACTGAGCTGCAGTAGCCAAAGGACATATATGCAAAATTAAATGCTGAAGTTTGTTCATGCTTCCCCAGAACTAGTTTAAATTGAAAAGCATGGCTGTTCGTCTTAACATTGAACCATCTGATAATCCAAAGGAGGAAAAACAATTTGGGCAGTGTGAATTTTATGTGGTACTAGTTACCATTCATTCTCTGTTAGCATGGGTGTCAAATAAAAGTAACTCAGCTTCCTTGGTACACCACTATAGGTTAGGCATCAGCCAAGGTAATATGCACTATGCTTGTGGAGCTATGCTGGACTGCTGCAAGAATATCAGCGATTCCACCTAGACAACATCGCCGAAATGCTGCCCTTTTCAACAGCACAGTCAACCCATTATACCCTGAAGATAATAGATATTTAGGAAATGAATTATAGTGAAAAGATTCCGAACTACCATCGTCATGTGTACCTTCTTCCTTTAAAATTCACCACAGTATCAACCTGAGAGGTCTCCAAATAAATCTGGAGTCCGTCTTAAGGCAAATATTGTAATGAAAATAGATAAATAAATAAATGGTTTATTCTCAAATTTATAGACACACCAAATCAGGCATGCTCTCTTTTTGACCACGCCAGCTACGATACTCAACCTAGTCAGTATTTGAAGTGATTTGACGACACAGCTATCTACTTATATTAGGTTATGTATCTCTCATTAGTGAGAAACGAAGTATATATGCAAGCGGGCTTCATGTAATTGTCCTCAAAAGACGAAGTAGAACTCAGTCATAGCTCGCTTTAAGTGATATACATGACTAGTTATTGGTTGCCCATCTTGTTCTACGAGTATTTTACTGTTAATTTGTGATTCTTACCTCCACCACCCCACAGTGCATGCGAATCCCTGGTCTGTATTGTTCATACTAAGACCTTGCTTCATTGTTTTCTTGAGTTCTTTCACCGAATCATTGTGACTGGATTATTTCCGTTGTGGAGACTCAACCAGTTGTGTCGTAAAATTTAACCTCATTACTATTAACTCTCAATTATGGTTTCGACCTTGTTTCTTGTGCTGTTCAGTTCAGAAATAAAGAAAATGATGTACATTCCTATGAAAATGCTCAAAATCTCGTAGGTTAAAATGTGGGAGCTAACTTCAGTCGAAATTCTTGATTAAGGTTCGTGTAGTCGAACTTTTTCATAATGTGACACGAATGTGTGACGGTATGGTAACACGAACAGCAGAATGCCTTGCTATCAATCAAAAACACCCAATTGCTACACACATGGAACTCGATGAACTCAACTGAGATAGACTAGGGGATAGGAATGTAAACAAGCAACTGCACAGAAGCATGTTTGGGACCGTGAACAGTGGCAAAACAGTGACCCCGTTAATGGGTAAACAAGTGTAGCCGTTGTCATGTTGTCCATACCTACATTTGACCATTTGGGAGGAAGCCCAGATGGTCTTCAATCTCTTCTATTTGAATAGCTTATCATGACGAGTGTCACAGTGATGATCTTCGCCCAACTGTCTATCAATGCAGCAAGCCAGTCAGCCAACAGTGACATAAGGTAAGGAACTTAGCAGTGATGACTAGTTGACCTGTAGTGAGGTCAGCTATGCTCCACTCGAATATATCCCCCAAATAACTACCTATTTTTGTTGCACGAATTCTCTATTCCAGTTAAACCAAACAGCTAAGCCCATATCATTTGGGTATGCTTTTCTAGTTGAAAGGTCAACATTTCAAGAATACTGCAGTTTAAATTTTTCGCTACGCCCTACAATAAATGCTGAACACATTTAGGTGCATTAAACAATACTTCTAAACACGAAATGTCCGAAATATGTTTGTTACTTAAGAATACGGCCTTCGGGAAAAGTTATGTGAAGTCCTTCGCAGTAGCTTCCAATTCAAAGGTTTTCCTACACATCCGGAACAACTGGACGGCTTTTTCGTTCTACCTGAATTCATCAGTAGTGCTTTGCTCTCGGCTGCTTCAGGATCTGAATCTATGGTTTCTCAAAACTGGCGGCTTGCATCATTCGCCATGGGCAATAGACGACAACGCCAGTTCGTCACAACTTAAAGGCTAACAGCGATATTACATAGCTGTTCTGCAGTAACTTCGTTTTCTTAACTATTTCGTTACTCCGCGAATAACTGATTGACAACTCGCTACTTCATCGCAATTATGCTTTTCTTGCTTCTTTTGTATCCTTGTGCTCAAGACAAGGCTCTGCTGCTCCATAAAGTCTTTTAGCATTGCGGAATGAAGTTGCCTCTCCCCCATAATCAGTTGAATAAACATGGGACTGAAGATTGGCGGTAGCCTCTAGTCGCTTCTCAAGAGTTCTAAAAATAAACAGAATCATCACATTTTCGTATCGAAATGGCTCTGAAAGTATGTCCCCATTCATTAGGTGTGTGTTTGCGCGTTATATGTATGTGAGGTAAAAAAAATACTCCGCTTCAAAGTCTCTTCTGATTTGAATAGGTTTTACACAGGTGTAACTGAGCTCTTAGTGAACTACGTGTGAAAACATCAACATCGTAAACTGATGCGAATACTCCGCTCTGTAGTCAAGATAAACGATTTTTCATTCCGCTAGAGTAGATCGAACTCCGGATGCAACAAATTCAGCATCTTGCTTCAAAGCACGCACTCTCAAAATCACCTCTTTGTCTACCACAATTCCCTGTCCACTGATCACATCTCAATCTTTACCTTCACCTGCCTGTTTGGATGTCTAATTCAATTTGGCTAAATGACACTGGACAACATGCGTTAGCGTCTTCCCTTCTCCCAAGAAGTTCCCATCCCTCAGTGTGAATGCCCACGCCACCGACTCTATTGCTGTCAGTTGATTGAAGCCGTATGTGTGAAACAGCGCGCATGAATACAGCCACACGTGTGCATGTATATAGGTTTCTTCCACGAAATACATGCTCAGTTAGTGAGGGTCTTTGATCTGATCCCTTTGGGGATTACGAGTCAACGGGGTTGGAACTCCAACCGGTCGCTGAGCCTAATCGACATGTAAAATAACCAGACTGAGTTGTGCTTTCCCATTCTTTACCTCACACGAAGTAAATTTGCTTTATGTTCTTCATTTTCTTAATATTTTCGACTCGTATTCTCCCGCAAGGTCATTTATTGAATGGTGAAAAACACACGAGTAAAAATGGATTTTAGGCTTATGTTCGTAAAATGCATCAGAGACGCGTATTACAAAGAAGCGGTGACTTCGGGCTTATGGACACCCT